TATAAATCGAGCGCAACATATTAGATTTTACGACAAAGATTTAGCCAACAGCGTTTTGCATTTTAGCATCTTTTTGTTCCCCAAAAGCATTTCAGTTTCCTGACCTTTTGTGACTACCATATATTTTTTTAGAAGTACAAGAGGCTTTATGTGACGAATTTGATGGCATTGAGTGCTCGGTCGGTCCTGGTCCAGATCTATCCCAGTCGCCGTTCAGGCTTGAAGTGACTCATCTTGGGAGAGAGGTACCGTATCTTAAATTATCGATCGCTCTACCGTATCCACGACTTACCGTACTCATCAATGTCTATGTTTTGCAGATAACATTTGTTCCCGACATCGCACATCTGGACGAGTTCGACGCTGCTGGATTGCACAGAATCAATCTATCCAAGGTCATTAGGCGCTTTATCTGCCGACATTTCAAGGCTTCTTTTTACGTGATATGATTTTTCAAGAGAATTAATGTCTAAGAAGATTTAGTACATTCCAGAGCAGTGCTCTGTTCACCGATGGACGTTCCAGCTGTTGTCTGGAACTCGTTCTTGGCCGAGGTCGCAACTGGCGTGATCCGCTGATTAAGCTCTTTGACAGATTATATCCGAACAAATGGGCTTTCTTCGTCGTGGAACTCGAACATGTACGTTCGATTTTTCACGATTTATTAAAAAATTTTGGTAAGAAAAATTTAGCGAGACCCTCACCTACAAGTTCTTGTACTAAATGATTGTCTAGAGTAGATTAGAGCTAGTTATTAGATTTTTGAATTTCTGCGGTTCACAATTCTATGATTTTACTTGAGCTTGGGTCTTGAATCTGGGTCAGAGTGTGGAATAACTCTTGGTGTGGTTTACTCACAAAGAAATCTTGGGTTCGCAACTCCAGTCGCGGAAATTTATTCAGAAAAGGAGAGAGGGGGCTTTTGGAAATTTTCTGAGAAGCTTCTTAAATTTTCTTATCCTAAATCATGTCCATAAGCATTCTGAGAAAAGCGGGTTTTCTCAACAATTTCTTTTTACGACCGGCTTATTTGAATTTTCATGATAAAATCCTTACTATTAGTGCGCAGGTTTCTGGCAAATTGCCAATTTTTCTAGAATGTTCTATTGATGTAATCGTAACGTCATCGGTTTTTTCTTTTGCATTAGTCAGCTCAAACGTCGTACTGCCAGAGTTCATGGAGATTAGAGTTTGAAGAGAGCACGGAAAGTTTGAAGGTTCTGCTG